AATAAACTATATACTTACTCACTGAAGTGAAAGAAAAGAAGCAATATTTAACAGAAAATTATATTGACGATAAAATGCGTACATCATTTTATGAATAAACTATACTTACTCCCTTGTAATTTGAAGTAATATTTAACAGATAATTACATTGACGATAAAATGTGTAATATTATGTTACGAATAAACTATATACTTACTTTCTAGTAATTTGAAGAAGCAATATTTAACAAAAAATTATATTGACGATAAAATGTGTACATCATTTTATGAATAAACTATATACTTACCTACTGGTAATTTGAAGAATATTTAACAGAGAATTATGTTTACGATAAAATGTGTACATTAATTTACGAATAAACTATATACTTACATCCTGTTAATTTGAAGAATATTTAACAGAGAATTATATTGACAAAAAAATATTTATGAACAAATTATATACTTACGTTCTGGTAATTTGAAGAATTAATATTTAACAGAGAATTATATTGACAATAAAATATTTATGAACAAATTATATACTCACAACCTGGTAATTTGAAGAAGTAATATTTAACAGAGAATTATATTGACAATAAAATATTAATGAACAAACTATATACTTACATTCTGATAATTTGAAGAATATTTAACAGAGAAATTATATTGACGATAAAATGTGTATGTTATTTTATGAATAAACTATATACTTACTCACTGGTAATTTGAAGTAATGGTTATATTGACGATAAAATGTGTATATTATTTTATGAATAAACTATATCCTTACTTTCTAGTAATTTGAGAAATAATATTTAGCAGAGAATTATATTGACGATAAAGTGTATACATTAATTTACGAATAAACTATATACTTACATCCTGTTAATTTGAAGAAATAATATTTAACAGAAAATTATATTGTCGATAAGATGTGTACATAGTTTATGAACAAATTATATGCTTACTTCCTGGTAATTTGAAAAGTAATATTTAACGGAGAAGTATATTGACAATAAAATGTGTACATTATTTTACGAATAAACAATATACTTACGCACTGGTAATTTGAAGTAATGTTTAACAGCAAATTATATTGACGATAAAATATGTATATTATTTTATGAATAAACTATATCTTACCTCCTGGTAATTTGAAGCAATGGTTAAAGAATTATATTGACGGTAAACTGTGTACATTATATTATATACTTACAAGCTGGTAATTTGAAGAAGTAATATTTAAGATAATTATATTGACGATAAAATGTGTCCGTTATTTTACGAATAAACTATATATTTACGCACTGGTAATTTGAAGTAATGGTTAAGAATTATATTGACAATAAAATATTTATGAACAAATTATATACTTACTTTCTGGTAATTTGAAGTAATATTTTACAGGAAATTATATTGACGATAAAATGTGTAGATTATTTTACAAATAAACTATATATTTACATTCTGATAATTTGAAGAAGTAATATTTAATAGAGAATTATATTGACGATAAAATGTGTATATCGTGATAAACTATTCTTACCGCCTGGTAATTTAAAGAAGTAATATTTAACAGAGAATTATATTGACGATAAAATGTGTATATCGTGATAAACTATACTTACCGCCTGGTAATTTAAAGAAGTAATATTTAATAGAGAATTATATTGACGATAAACTGTGTACGTTATTTTATATACTTACTCACTGGTAATTTGAAGATTTAACAGAGAATTATATTGATGATAAAATGTGTACATTATTTTACGAATAAACTATATACTTACGCCCTGGTAATTTGAAGTAATATTTAACAGAAAATTGTATTGACGATATTATTTTACGAATAAACTAGATACTTACGACCTGGTAATTTGAAGTAATATTTTACAGAGAATCATATTGACAATAAAATATTTATCAACAAATTATATACTTACTTTCTGGTAATTTAAAGAAGTAATATTTAACAGGAAATTATATTGACGATAAAATGTATATATCATGATAAACTATATACTTACCGCCTGGTAATTTAAAGAAGTAATATTTAACAGGAAATTATATTGACGATAAAATGTGTCCGTTATTTTACGAATAAACTATATACTTACGCACTGGTAATTTGAAGTAATGGTTAGCAGAGAGAATAATATTGACGATAAAATGTGTACTTCATGATAAACTATATACTTACCGCCTGGTAATTTGAAGTCATATTTAACAGAGAATTATATTGACGATAAAATGTGTATATCATGATAAACTATATACTTACCGCCTGGTAATTTGAAGAAGCAATATTTAAGAGAATTATATTGACGATAAAATGTGTACATTATTTTACAAATAAACTATATACTTACTCACTGAAGTGAAAGAAAAGAAGCAATATTTAACAGAAAATTATATTGACGATAAAATGTGTACATTATTTTATGAATAAACTATATACTTACTCCCTGGTCATTTGAAGTAATATTTAATAGAGAATCATATTGACGATACGAGAAAATGTGTACATTATTTTACGAATAAACTATATACTTACTCTCTGGTAATTTGAAGTGAAAAAATAGAAAAGGAATATTAAATAGAGAATTCCACTAACGATGAGATGTATACACTATTTTATGAATAAACTATTTACTTACTTTCTGGTTGTGGGTGTTGTGGAAGTGGTTGTGATTATCTGAGAGAAGGTTTGATTATTGGGAGATAAATGACATAGACCTTGTTCGAAAGACGAAAAAACTAGTAAGGTTTACTAAAGGTTAGTATTTGATTAAGAAAAAAAACTCCGAAATTTGGTTGAGAAATATTTATGTAGTTTTCAGGACCTTTTTCTTCATAATTGTCATGTTTAGATTCAACTGAATTTATTTCGATATTCTGTAGTTTACTGGTCATCTCTTCCTCGAGACTAACAGTTTTGCCTATAGCATTCAAATGTACTGCCAATTTTTCCCGGCTTTCTAAGAAAAGAATAAAACATTGGATTAAGCATTTTGGTTCATCGCCATTAACTTCTTTATTTTTAAAATTATTTCCATCAGAATCACATATTTCCATAGGTGAAGATTTCATATCTTTGTTATCAGCAATATAAACATTAAGTTCGATTTTATTATCGTTACATCGGTAGTTTAGAGCATCAACATCGAAGCTTCGCTCATAATTTGATGAATATTTAAATGAAGTAACAAGAAATGAATATTGTGGTAGACTTTCTTGAATATTTAATGTAATATTCCAGTTGTTTTCATTTAATCTTGGTGAAAATGAAGTATTAATCGATCTTAAAATGCGAATATTTCGTGTGTTTATGCTAAAAAATCCAATTTTAGCAGGTATTCCGATTAATATCCATTCTATTTGCAATTCTGTATGCTCACTATAAATTAAAGAATAATAGGAATATTGCAATTAAGTTTATTACAATGAACTGAATATGCAAACTCACGCAATTGCATCAAAATTTTCCACGAATGCATAGAATCCATATATATCAATAAATTTGAACTTGATGGTAACTTTATCAATTGGTTCTCCACTTTGTTTCACGAGTTTTCCAAAAACTTGGTAATTATTTGATTTAAAACAAACTGGAAAATTCGCACGATAAGAAAAAGGCGGGGCATTAACTGGAATTATTCCAGAAAATAGTACCTTTTCTTTTATGTTAAAACTTTCTGGCTGACAATTTATTCCAAGAATAGATTTAATTTCATCACAAAGAGACTCATCAAATATTTCATATATTGGACATAATTCATCTAAACTGATTATTTGTAATGAGTCATAATCGCTTTCTGAGCAAATTTTCATCCACTTTTCAAGCTCATCTTTCATAATTAATTTATCGTCTACGGTCACAAAATAAGACGAATCAAAACCACGTGAACCTATGCATTTTTCCCACTGATTTAAAATATCATTATATTCTTCTGTCATAAAATCGGCTGTCCGTTCTCCTTCTTTAAAGTTAGCATCTGGCAAACTCTCATCCACAATTAAACAAGTAACTCTATATAATTTATGTCCAAGAATAAGTTTTTTAGGAATAAATTTTCCGTAAATTTCGAAAATATTCATTAATTCATTATAGGGGTTATAATGTTCCAGAGCCTCTTTTATTTTGGCAACTATTTCTTCGGAAGGTTTTATCGTTTCTTTTTCAACAATTAATTCAAATTGCGAACATTGTACTTTTAAACATACATCATTAATAGGCGACTCATTAATTAAAAGGGTTTCAGCGGAATTTGCAAATATCCAGTCACAATGCTTCAAATCAAGGGCATAGTGGTCAATATGATTCTTAAACAAAAAAGAATCTCGCCGTTTTGTAGAAAATTTCAACGTTGCTTCAAAAGAGCTAACTAACGGCGTAGCTTTAGGTCGAGAACATGGCGAATATGCAGAAAATTTTGAAGGGCACACTCCTTTAGCATTTATAATCAAACCATGGTTAATTTTTAATGAATTAATATTTTTAATGATCTTTGCAGCGTCTTGAATTTCCGCCATAATTCTGTCATTAACAACATCTAGGATTTATTCAACATTTATATGTGACAAATGCTGCATTGGTGATACGTACGTACGTACGTACGTGCAGACAATACAAATATCGATAATTATGGTAAAATGAAGCCGAAAAAAATTGGTATAACGCCGATTGCCACGGTGTGGTTTAGCAAATTTTCATTTTTGGTGCAAAGGCGTTTGTTTAATTAACAGTATTTATATAAATATAATACGTACGTATATACTGTACGTACATGATTGTTTTCCATGAACATAATCTGATTATAGACGAAATTAAAAAGATTACACGAAATGTTTAATTCCAATGAATTTGAAGTTTTAAAAACAATTTCGGATGGCTCAAGTGAGGTCAAACTCGCTTATATGGCAACTAAAAAAAAGCACGTCGTCCTTAAATTTTTAAAAGAACATAAACAAGATGAATATTACAAGAAATTTGACAGAGAAGTATGTTACTGCAAACCAAAACCGAAATTTCGGATTTTTAGTGTTTCTTTTACTAAAAGACATGCAATAATTACATATGATGCAATAATAGATAGGCAATTTAAAAAAAATTTCTCGCAATGATAATGTGATCGAATTTCTTGGCGTAACTAAAGGTACTTTTTACATGCGTCACGTCATTATTCCAAGTTTTCGTATATTCATATATATTTTCAGAAAAACATGACTGTATTTGATTAATGCCCTTGATTTTTTTTTGTTCAAGAACCTCACAAGAAGCTTTATTCTATGGTGTTTCACTATTTCTCTGATAAAAGCCTTAGGGAATATTTGAAGGAAAAACAAGATGATTGGCCTCATAAAAAACTAATGGCCACAGAAATTGCTACAGGCTTAGAATATATTCATATTGCAAATATTGTACATTGTAATCTGGTTAGTATATCAATCGTAAATTCGAAAGGGATTTTGTTTCAATTGATCCTCTTCACTGATTATATTTTTATGTAAATATCAACAACAGAACTCAAAAAACATTTTAATGAATCAAAACGGTAAATTGATGATTATAGGTTTTAGCTCATCCATGTCTCTTGAATATCAAACAGAACCTACTTTCAAAATTACTGAAGAAAATATTTCCTATGTGGATCCGAAATTCTTTAACCCTACGAGTAACGAACGTTATTATGATAAATCTTCCGATATTTATAGTTTAGGGGTGATATTTTGGGAAATATCAAGTGGCAAGCCTCCTTTTAGCGAGAGATCTGAATTAAAAGACACAAAAAAATTGAAAACTTTTCTTGCTCTTGAAAATAGAGAAGATCCTATTAATTTAACACCTGTAGATTACAAAGAACTTTATTGTGATTTATGGAATTCGCATCCTAAAAAACGACCGTCAATTAGCGAAGTCATTAATCGCCTCAATGATATTGAGTTTGAGTGTGTATATCAAGATTCTGATTATATCACAGAGATTTCTTTAAAGAATAGGATTCGAGATATTTCGAAAAGTGCTGCTTGTTTAGAGGTTATTAAAGGATCAGCTTTAAATTTATATATTTTCCTTCCTCCAGGTGTAATATCTGTAGGAAGGAGTAGTTCGAACGATGTCATCATAAAAGACCAAGAAATTGCCAAAAAACATGCAAGAATTACTGTAACTATTCAAGGACAAGTCGAAATCAAGGAATTAGAATCTGATTATGAGATTTTTGTTAATGACAAAAAGCTTGGATCTCTTGCCTCCCATCTTTTAATAAGAGATGACGTGATTTCAATGGGGCGTAGCAAATTTCAATACCTTCCTATTGGAGAATATAAAAGTCGGATGGATGAGCTTTTGTCAATATATAATGTTAGTTATTTTTTGAAGAAATTGGAGAATGAATTCAAGAGTGCGAAAGAAAATATATGGGATTTGAGCTTGTTATTTTTTGATTTAGATCATTTTAAAAGTATAAATGATCAAAATAATCATATAGTTGGAAATTATGTTTTAAAAGAGTTAGCAATTTTGATTCAAAATAATCACGTCCGTTCCGTGGATATTTTCGCGAGATATGGGGGAGACGAGTTTACTATTCTTCTCAAGGGCACTAATATAAGCTCTGCCTCTAAAATTGCTGAAGAAATTCGAAGTTCTGTTGAAACCCACTTGTTTATTTATAAAAAAACCGAATTACGAGTTACACTTAGCATTGGAGTTTCCGAAATGAATTCGTCAGTTGATACCTGTGGCGAATTACTTCTTCAAGCTAACAAAGCATCGAAGAAAGCTAAAGAATACGGCCGCAATCGAGTAATAAGATGGAGTAATGAATTGAATTCAACATGCATGTTAACGATCTATTATTACCTGCTAATATTAGGGATGGTAAAGTGGTCATTTGATTAAAATTTAAATGACATCAAGTCAACAAATAATGACCAGACATTTGAGTCATTCGCATATAAAATAATTTTATTGGTTGAATTGTTTACATAAAAAGGTATCGTTTTCCTAATCAATAATTGTAACTATATATTAAAATTGAAATTTTACTAAGTCAATTAATATTGATGCCTTAAGTGTTCAAAATAATAAATTGTATATGTCCTGAACTTTTCATGTAAATTGAATAACTTTTTATTAATTAATTTTCGCATATTACGTTTACACGAAAAATTTAAAATATTTTCATATAATCGTAAATGCAGAAGTGAATTAATAAATTGTTATCCAGTTTACTTATAAGTTTCAGGACATATGCAATTTATTACCTTACATAAGGTATAAATATTAATTAATTTAATAACATTTTTGATTTTGATATATAGCTACGGTTATTGATTATATTTTTATAAAATTTAATTTTGTTTGGCGGTCAATTATGCTTTGTTCAAAGGTATTAGAAATATTAACTAACATGTGTTAAACGACTTTCTAAGGTCATTTAGGCCTTGAAATGATCAATGACTAGTCATTTGTCATTTGGGTCATTTTAGGTCATTTACCATCCTTGGTTATCTATTATTATGTTGTTTATAAAGTTTTGATTAATATAATACTGTATCTCAAAAATTAGACGAGATTGAAAACCTTCTAAAAGGGTCACATGATAAATCTACCGAATGTGGAAATAAGGATAGAGCATCGTTTTCTTCCTTTTCCTCAACAGCGGATGCTTCTTTTCCCTCAATAACAAATACTTCTTTTATTTCAACAATGGATGCATCTTTGTCTTCTACAAAGGATTCTTCTTTGTCCCAGATAATGGACGACGAAATTGGCATCACAATAATCAAGTCAGATTCAGAAAATAATGAGACAAACTGTATTATGCATTTTCCTCGAAAGGAAACTCTCAAATTTATTCGAACTAAACTCGAATATGATGAATTTTATATGGGAACTAATTGCCATTTTATAAAAAATAAGTTCCCAGTTTCACGAAATGAGGAATCAAAATTGAATTTTTTGCAAATAATCGAAAAACATGATAATGGTAACAATTTTTTATATATTAAAGAAAAGGCAGAATTCGATAAGTTACAGTTAAAAAATGAGAAAGGTTTCAAATTTGATAAAAGTGGTTCTATTGAAAGTGCAAGTGATAAAGCTTTTAAAATCGATATCAACAAAATTGAATTTTCGGATCCAGGATTTGTTCGTGAAGAAAAAGAATACAAGTGCAACCATGCACCTAACGCTAATTGTAAACGAAACCTTATAATTGATGAACAGTTTTCGGTTGCTTTAGAATGGTTTTGTAATTCGCTTAAATTATCTTGGAAACACCCCAAACAGTCAAACATACATTTATGTGAATGGCGACCCAAAAAAGAAATTATAATTTCAGACATTAGTGCAACAAATGAATTTATCAGCGATGTTAAAGCTGCATTAAAAAATAATGAAAAAGACATAATAAAGTATCTCCGTGATGTATCAGAAAAATATGGACATTTTTATGCGCGTCGTCTTGTTTTAGGAGGGGCTAGAGTTAAAAATAAATCACATATCATAAATTCAGGTAAATATCTATAATATGACCTTCTTGAATTTGAGATTCCGAAATAACTTTTTCTTTGTTATAAAATAGATGAGGATGCACAGAGTTTTCTTGGCGACAATACAGATAATTATACCTCTGTTATTGGTGGGGACAAAGAAAAGTATTCAGAAAATGGCATAAAATCTTGGGACGAATCCCTCAAAGATGGATCTACATGGAAAATAATTGGATATGATAAAATTTATTCATTGTTTGAATTATTGAATGAGAAGTTACAGAAAAAAGTTTTAGGTGCTTTGGGCCACCGAATTTTGAAAGGTAAAATATATTTTTCTATTATTAAGATAGATATAAATAACTGAGTTCTATCATATTGAAAATTTTTTTTCATGAACTTAGCCGGCACTGAAGATATCCATTTTGAATTGAAAAATTCTGCGAAAGTGATAACTCCATACATACATCCTTTGTCTCCGCGCATAAAGGAAATTGGAGATGTAAATAATTACCAAGTTTTTGCGTCAATCATGAGCAAAAGTAATAAAAATTTGTTTTCTGCTCATATAGACTACGTGAACAAAGATAAAAATACCCCAGTAATTGTTGTTCACAATATTAAAAGGGAAAATTCCAGTTCTACAACTTGTAAAATTAAACTAGGATGGATTATAGTTGGTCCACTTACAAACTTCGATTTTAACGTCCAATATCCATTAATATTTAGAAGTATGAAACAAATGGTATCCGTAAAAGAGAATCATTGTCCCGTAAAAATTAATAATTATAAAACTTGTATTTTGGGCATTTGCGCATTAGAAGCAGATTCTGAATCAAGTTCTATAAGTAATAATGATTCCATGAGAAACGAAAATTCTCAATTAAATTCTGCAAGCATTGTGGATTCAACAGAGAACATTCCGTATGACATAAAATATGATCCGGAGACAGTGGAAATTATCGTTGGTACACATTTCTCAACTTATAAGGAATCCGCGTGTTTGTTTGTTTATAATCTTAAAGATATAGACAAGCCTGTTGACGAAACAGTATCGCAAAACTTAGCGCTATACACATGGTGAGCCAAGAAAGTGATTTTATCGTTATTAGCTTGTAATCATATCATAATTTTTAAATATGTATTTTATAATAGTGTTGTTGATGTTGATACTGATGAGAAGGTTAAATTTGGTCAAAAGTCTGTTGAGTGGGAAAGTTCTAAGCAGGAAGGAATATCTCACGGTGAAATCGAACCAAGTATACTATCTAATGATGATTTGAGTATACTATCTAATGATGGTTTGATATTCGTAAGTCAACTTTTTAGAGATTGTCCGAATTGTCCGGATTGTAAACGTGGGTTTGTTAATGTCAATTCCATTACTGGTAAAGTTATTTACAAATCATTAAATTCTGAACTTTTGGATTCGGTTGGAAATATTGCATATCTTTTAATTTCCTCGGTGAACAAATCCCTATAAAAATTTTTATTTGAATATTTCATATCTCCTCATTTTACTGTAAACACCTCATGATTTTGCATCATGATTGGATATACCGAATAATTCATAAATATGTAAAATTTACGGATAGAACATTATCAGAAACACAAATTAACTTTTTTTTATACTGTAGTATTATATTGCGATATTTGTATATACATCATACTTTAAAATTATAATTTTGCTAATTAGAAATCAAAACTACTATATACCAGTTTACCCCCCCCCATGGCTTTACTACAGAACTATTTATACGTGGTAGTGTATGGTTTACAAGCAAGTTAATATGTCTGTGCGATTCTCAGCATATAATTGGGTAATCTGTCATCGTGACTTTGTGTAGCACCCCAAACAATACTTTAAAAGGTAGTGCGACGGGTAAACGGCGAGTCTGTCGCTCCAACGGACAAGACCTCGCGTAACGTTACGAATCGGCGAAATAAGGCTTCGAGGCGTGGATTAGATTTGGCGAGTGTTTTATTTAATTCTCTATCTAGTTTCCGTGTTTATTAATAACTTTACTAACTACCACTACCTACTATTAAAGGGACTTTCGATCTCTCTTCCCCTAATTGGGGGCGCCAAAGCTTAGTAACTTTATTAAAATTCTGCCCTTCCTTTTATACAATTTCCATATTACTAACACCTTTTATTTATTTTTAACTTCCCTTCCTATTTTCCTACCATTCCGCCTCCCCACAGTCATACCATCGCGGGTTTCACCTAAACCGGGTAAGTATTGTTATCCGGCTAAGTCACGTGCCACGTGACACGGCTAACCAAATAAGGGTGACCCGGCTAGAAAAATCAGAA